ATGCCTTGCATATTTTTGATTTATTGTAGAGATGAGGTCTCGCCAAGTTGCCCGGGTGGGTCTCGAACCCGCGGACTCAGGCAATCCACTCACCTCAGCCTCCCAAAGCACTGGGATTACAGGCTGAGCCACCGAGCCGGCCAAACCTCCTTTTCATTGAGAAATGTCTCCCAGCCACTCCATACCCATTTCATAGATGGGAAAACCAAGGGTCAGTGGAGTGAAGCCATCTTCCTAGGGTCACTCAGAAGCGAGTGGCTGAGCTAGATCTCCCAGCTTTGTTTCCCTTTCTCATATGCATTAATCTCTGGTTTAGTCTTCACACCAACCCTAAGAATGAGTCCATTTTCCAGATAAGAAAACTGAGGCTCAGAAAAGAGGATCTTGAGGCCAGGCACAGTGGCTCACAGCTGTAATTCTAGCATTTTGAGGGCTGAGGTGAGAGGATTTCTTGAGCCCAGGAGTCCAAGACAAGACTAGAAAACATAGCCAGACTTTGTCTCTACAAGACATTTTAAAATTAGCCAGGTGTGGTGGCAAGCACCTGCAGTCCCAGCTACTGGGGAGGCTGAGGCAGAAGGATTGCCTGAGTCCAGGAGGCTGAGGCTGCAACGAGCTGTGATTGTGGCCCACTGCACTCCAGCTGGGTGACAGGAAGACCTGAGTCAAAAAAATTTAAGAAAAGAGAGATAGAAGGGGGGAGGGAGGGAAGGAGGCCAGGAAGAAGGGAAGAGGAGAGAGAGAGAGAGAGAGAGAGAGAGAGACACGGGAGGGAAGGAAGGAAAGAAGGAAGGAAGGAAGCAAGGAAGGAAGGAAGACATTGTCAGCACAGGGTCAACACAGCCAGGAAGAAGGGGGCTCGCTCCAACAGTCGAGAGCATAATTGCTGACTTCAGACTTGATGACATGTCATCCTTCTAGGTAGAGGAAACAGGGTCAGAGTCCAGAGTCAGGACAATTATAATAGTAATAGCACCTACCACCTTTATTGAGCACATACTATGCGCCAGGCACCGCAGTGAGCATCTTAGGGCATTCTTGTATCTCCCTTCCAGTTCTCAAAGGGGACACTTGCTGTCTCTACTTTCCAGATGAGGGGCTTGGGACACAGGGAGGTTAAGCAACTTGCCAGAGGTGACACAGCTAATAAGTAGAGGGAATTTAAATCCTCATAATCTGAGGCACGCTCCTTCACTATTTTTTTTTTTTTTTTTGAGTCGAGGTCTCACTCTGTCCCACAGGCTAGAGTGCAGTAGCACAATCACAGCTCACCACAGCCTCGACCAGGCATGTACCACCATATCTAGCTAGTTGTTTTTTTTTTTTTTTTTAGAGACGAAGTCTTGCTATATTGCTCAGACTGGTCTCCTGGACTCCAGTGATCTTCCCACCCTGGCCTCCCAAAGTGCTGGGATTACAGGCATGAGCCACCTGGCCCAGTTCTGCCACACCTTTAACACTGAGCTAGACTCTCTCTCAGGAGAAGGGATTTCTTTGGGATTTTTCTTACCTTATCTTAAAGTATTAGCTTATGACTTCAATGGATTAATACAACTCCCACTGCATAATGATTATTACAGCAGCAGAGATAGCCACTACTGATTCATCACCTCCTATTCACTCCCTCTCCTACTCTGCTTCAGTCACACCAACCTCTCTACTGTTCCTAGATTGCATCAGGCACACTCCCACCTCAGGGCCTTTGCACTGGCTGTTTCCTCTCCTTGGAAAAGTTCTGATACACATCTGTTCGACTTCCTCCCCTGCTACATACAGTCTCCACTCTTACACCATCTGCTCAGGGAAGCCCTCCTAAATCGAATCACTCACCTAGACCTCACTTGCACCCTGGTACTGCCTTCGAACTGCTTTGTTTTCTTGTTGTTTTATCACTACCCATTGGTTAGATAACACATATCTGTTCCCCACTGTCAGTCCCACAAGGGTGGGAACTTTGCTTCTGGTCCTGTCCCCAGCTCATAGGCCAGTGCCCAGCACAAATGAGGTCCCTGGTGAATGTTGAAAGAATGTGTGGAGCCTTCCATTTTGGCCAGCCACTGCTCCAGGCAGTTCGCCTGCATGAAATTGCTCCTATTGACCAGAGGTATCCTTAATCAGAGAAGACTATTTCATTTTTTGCATTTTATTTTACTAGAAAAAAAGAAACTTGTTACAAATCCTTTCAAACACAGAAAAGGAGACAGAATGACCTAATTAGCCCCCATATTATCTGTTATCTCGATATAACTCAAACAAATACGTTATTTTCTTCTAACGTTTTTTTTTTTTTTGAGTTGGAGTCTCACTGTTGCCCAGACTGGAGTGCAGTGGCCGCTCCTGGCCACCGCAGCCTCGACCTGCTGGGCTCTGGCAATCCTTCTGCCTCAGCCGTCCAAGTAGGTGGATCTCCAGGCACGCGCTACCATGCCTGGCTAATTTTTTGATTTATTGTAGAGATGAGGTCTTGCCAAGTTGCCCAGGCGGGTCTCGAACCCACAGGCTCAGGCAATCCACTCACCTCAGCCTCCCAAAGGCGCGGGATGACAGGCTGAGCCACCGAGCCCGGCTCTTCTAACGTATTTTAAGGTCAATACACACACTGGTAACATTTCCCCCTAAATATTTCAACTGGTATCTGCAAAAAATAAGCACCATTTCCCCACCTAACCACAAAGCCATTTTCATAATAGGATATCTACTTTTTTTCGGCTCAGGTGTTCCAAGGCAAATGATGTCTTTTCACCCCTAAATATTTCAACATGCAGCGCTGGGTAAGGACGTTTTCCCACATCATCACAACACCCTCCCGACAAAACTAACAAATCACCCTCATTGGATCCAATCATCGAGCACATGCAGGCTGCCATCAGACAAGTGCTGAGCCCCACTTCCTCCGGCGGAGGAGAGCGATGGCCCAAGGTCCCACGGCAGGAAGAGAGGGAGCGGGGACTCGCACCCAGGCAGTCTGAGTGGACACAGCTGTGACCACGGCCCGGTGAGTCAGGGCCGAGCCAGCCCCCTCGCCACCGGCCGGCCGCGCCCAGGGAAGGGAAGTTTGGGGC